TAAATATTTTGCGCTAGAAATGTCTCTTACATATTCTTTCTAAACGTGATTAGTTTTTGGTGGTATCACAATATCTTAACGCCAAACAATGCCAAAATTTAATTCTGACACATCCAATAAAACTGTGATCTATATCGGCTATGATTGTCACGTTACTTGCTTATTTGAATATTCAAAAGCGTTTGTATATAACGTATTCACCCTTTCGTAGTAAACAGAATTTTATATAAAACAGGTCCGGAAATTACCGCTGACTTACTGGGAAGACATATAGCAGATTGAATATAGTGTGAAACTGTGTCTTCTCAAGATACGGTCATTGGATTTTCTTTGTTTTAGAATTTAGCGTAAGGCTACACAAAGGCTATTTGCGCATAGCCGACTCTAATTTTGAACCAGTAGACTAAAGAGAAGGCAGTTAATCAATAACACCAATCTCCTGCTCTTGGGCTACTCTTGTCTGACCACATCATGGAACATACATATAGCTCACTTTCGGATCCATATTCAGGGCTTAGGCCACGCTCTCCCAATATTGGATTTAAAATCATCCTAACTTTAGCCTTTTAAAGGCTTTCACAGCAATATAAATATGCAACAAAATATTTTCTTCTTAAAATTCAGTTATGTCGAGACGAAAACAACCAGAATTATCTTTCAAAGTTTCTCCGTATCTAAGCGTTAAGCAAAATTGCTTTTTTAAAGTATCAGAAGTAGTTTTAATATTTAAAACGATTTTCTTTTAAGATACTTTTCGTTAAATTGATGATTTTCTATCAACTTTTTGGAGAAACAGCAAGAAATGTTATATTTTCTCCACACAGAAAATCTTTCATGTACCTCACTAAAATATCACCCTAGCACGTTCTATAATCCGCGTGATATCCGATTTCTTTATTTCAGTATTAGTATCAAATCTCTATGATAAAACTAGCATTTAAATTATTTCATAATTTTTGACTCCAATTGCTTTTTTTATTTTATAATCTAAACCCATATATTTATCTTTAAAAACAAATCCTATGATTGATCTGTATATATATAGCAATCTGGCGTCTAGATTACAGAAATAAATGGCTATTTACAAAAATATTCTTATTGTACTTTATCATGATAAACTTATTACTGCACTCTGGAGTCGTCAACTCATAAAGTATCGTTATAACGTTGTTCGTGAACATCCAGTGCACTAAAGTTTGATGTCTCTCAACAATATATCAACCAACGGTCTGTGAACGACCACTTCCTGAAAGTTAATACACAGGCCCCTATTTATCTTTCTAAGTCTTATATCAAACAAAAATTGTTCTTTAATTTCGAATTCGATAATACCCTCATACCAGACACATAAAATTTCGTTCTCGTTTCTTGTGCAGAACTTTAGGCTTTTATAATAACGTCATATATCCATTTCTCCAAAATATCTGCTCTAGATATTAGTATTCCTTTTTTGTAAGCAATAAACAAGGAATTCAGGAAGATTTAACCAATTTCTGTTGGTTCCAGTATATATACACTATTCCATACGAAGATATGCTGGTCAAATAACCGGAAATAACGCATGTGAATTTCTTTGCGATTTTACTGTTGAAACAGGTGCTACAAAAACCATCGTCCTCGTACATTAGGTGGATTATGGAAAGCAAGCAGGGTCGAATTATATTCTTTGGAAATGACAGTGAAAACTATTATCAACATTTATAGTCATCAGATAGAGCATGGCGGTCATGGTAACGTGGATTGTAACGACGTGGCGAGGCTTTAAAACTTTTCAACATAATGTACTCAAGCTATGGATATATGTGTTTATTAATTGAAAATATATTTCCCTATTAGGAGTTGCTATTCATTATTAAAGTGTAAATAATTCACAAGATCTATTATTAGTATCAATACCTTCTTGATCAAACACAAGCAACTTCTTTCCGGTGGTGCAGCTAAAGTTCGGAGTTTGATACCTGTGGTAGGCATAGCACAGATAGCCCATTGTGCAGCTTTTGCTCATCAACAAAACTAGCGAAAAATAGCAAGCTATATAGGTCAAAATTAAATAAATATATTTCAACTTACTGACTAGAAGAATGTGATGCCATAAATTACAAAACAAGGTTTAGTTTGTTGGACTTTCGCTCAGAGCTACATGAGGGCTATTTGCGTTAGCTGTCCCTAATTTAGCAGTGACATACTGGAGGGAAAGCAGCTAGTCAACACCACCAATCGCCGCTCTTGGGTTACTCTTTTACCAACGAATAGTGGAATTGACCGTCAAATTATAGCGCCTCCACGCTGAAAGGGTGATCAGGAAACAGTTATACACCACTATCAGGTGATCAGGAAACAGTTATACACCACTATCAGGTGACTAAGAAACAGTTATACACCACTATCAGGTGATCAGAAAACAGTTATACACCACTATCAGGTGATCAGGAAACAGTTATACACCACTATCAGGTGATCAGGAAACAGTTATACACCACTATCTGGTACTCGGGAAACAGTTATACACCACTATCAGGTGATCAGGAAACAGTTATACACCACTATCTGGTACTCGGGAAACAGTTATACACCGCCTGATTACCTGATAGTGTATAACTGTTTTTGATCACCTGATAGTGGTATCAGGTGATCAATAAACAGTTATACACTACTATCAGGTTATAACTGTTTCCTGATTGTTTCTTGATCACCTGATAGTGGTGAGTTATACACCACTATCAGGGTATAACTGTTTATTGATCAATTGATCACCTGATAGCGGTAAACAGTTATACACCG